GGTCTGTTCTTGTGCCAGTACCAAATTGTCTTGATTACTGTGGCTTTGTAGTAGAGCTTGAAGTTGGGGAGCGTCATTGCCCCCCACTTTGTTCTTCCTTCTCAGAATTGCTTTGGCTATTCAGGGACTTTTGTGGTTCCATATGAATTTTAGAACTCTTTGCTCTAGTTCGTTGAAGAATTCTGCTGGTATTTTGATAGGGATTGCATTGAATCTGTAGATTGCTTTGGGCAGGATGGCCATTTGAAAATATTAATTCTTCCTATACGTGAGCATGGGATGTGTTTCTATTTGTTAGTATCTTCTTTAATTTATCTCATGAGTGTCTTGTAGTTTCAGAGTATAGGTCTTTCACTTCCTTGGTTAGGCATAGTGTTTTATTTGAAATATTTAATGATATAAATCAGTACAATGTTTTTGAAAAGAAAAGAATATGAAAATTTGTTATTAGTGAAGAACCCTGACATTACCCAGAAATGTATTTCTCATATGCTTTTTGTAGTGTGTAAAAGAATAATAAAGTTGTGTCTTTAGGGGATTTATTGAGTTAATTTTAAAATGTGGTCAGTTGAACCCATGTAGTTACATTCTCTGTCTGGAGGCCCTACTAATATTATAGTAAACAGACAAAGCCCTGAACCCTCAAAGACAAAGTAAATGAGAAGGAAAAGAAAGCTAATGTATTTTTTTTAATCACAGGTGGTTGAAAGACAGCTCCCTAAATGCTAAAACCTAAAGTAGCTGAAAGAAAAATGACAGAAGAAAATTTTTGCCAAAGAACCCTAGAAAGCTAAAGAATTAGAGTTACCAGGTATCTAAGGAACTGGAAATACAAGTGGGGCTAGAAAGAGTTGGATTGGTTGAAAGCTCATATAAGAGGCAGTTTAGATGCCCCAGATCCCATCTGCTACATGTACATGATTGCCCTGCTATCCCTGGCAGATGGTAGGAGGTTGAACCAAAGTTGCTCAGGACATGGGACACCAGGTACAGCCTTACAAAAATCATACAAAAACAAAATGATTAAGTGAAAAGCTCTTTCTTTAACAATGAGACATTCAGCCCCCTTCTGTGAAACTCTGAGAAAATGAGCAGGCCATGTTATACACTCCAGGACTGGAGGATACAGGATTCCATTCCTGTGCAACTTAACTTCCCCAGGAAAACAGGCCTGTAAACACTGATAGTTGGTATTCCTCAGTGGAGAAGACTGGGTGCCTGCCTAGTTATACACCCTGAAGCTCCTCACACAGAGTATGTATCCAGCTTATGACTGGGTCACGATCATGGCACACTGACAGGCATATCTGTGCATCAGTCTTAAGTATGAACAGAAAGCCCAGATTGCCAGATATTTAAGGAAAGTGTCCAACCTGAAATAGGAAGAACTTTAAGGAAATACATTTCATTCAGGGAACAAAACTTTTTAAAAAGTATAATTTTACAGAGGTGAGAATATTTTGTATAAATGAAACCAAACCAAAACTATAAAAGCAAAACATACAGGGAGCAAAAAACAGCTCCTGAAAATTTTTAATATAATTAATGAAATAAAAAAATCAAAGTTTAGACTGGAAAAATAAAGTTAAGATTGCAAATCCCCTGAGAGATAAGACAAAATACAAAGGAATGAAAAGCTGAGGAAAAACAGGGAAATTATAGGCTCAGTTGAGGACCAAAATCCAACAGAGAAAATGGAAGACATCAGCAAAGAAATAATATAAGAAATTTCCCCAAAAGTGAAATGTATGGTTTCCAGATTGCACAAACCACTTAGTTTTTTGCACAAAAAATGAAGAACCAAGACAGAAAATCAAGGATTTCAGAAGTTTCTAAAAGTTCCCAGAGAGGATAAAACAGGTCATGTACAAAAACATTAGGAATTGGATTGGACTTGTCAACAGTGCTTGAAGTAGAAAACAGTGGGGCAGGCCTTCAAAACTCTGAAGGAAAATGAGTCTCAACCATGAATTCTCTATCTAGTCAAACTCCCAGTCAAGTATAAGGATGGAATAAAGATATTTTCAGACACATAGGGTCTCAAAATTTTTATTCCCATGCGTCCTTCCTTGGGAAGTCTTTGGAATATGTCCTACAACAAAAAGAATTACTTGGGAAGATAAGGAATATATGAAATCCAAGAAATAACAGAATCTAACTTGGGGACGGGTGTAAGGAATTCTTAGGATGAAGATAAAGGGCAGTTTCAAAATGAGGGGTCCAGAATGGAGCAGGAAGGTGGCAGATTTCAGGAAGAATGTCTCCATTGAGAGGGAGAAGAATCGACAATCCCTGAGGTGTTTGAACCTGAGAGGAAATTCCATCTAACCAGAAAGGTTGACTGTGAATTACTAACACCTAAAAAAGAAATTCAGCCTCTGAAATGTGAAAAAAGTTACTGAGTGGAAACACAACTTGGTACAAGGAAGTAAATATAATCATCACTTACTGAATAGCTTAGTGTGAATACCTGTATAGTCATAATAGAAGAAGTTAAGGCCTGTGGACCGTATGTTCTGGTTCCCCCTCTCTTTCCGAGCACACAGTAGGATGGCATTTCTTGGCTTTCTTGTGGTTGGGCTGGACTCTATGATTAGTTCTGGCCAATAAGTGTGAGCAGAGTGATGCATGTCACTTCCAGGTAACACATTTAGTGTTGACAGAAGAGATCTTTTTTCCTCTGTGCCGTTGTGGCCGGCAGTTCTCTGTACTATCCAATACACTAACTACTATTTAAATTTAAAGTAAAAATTCAGACCCTGAGTCACATTAACTACATTTCAAGCACTCAGTAGCCACATGACTAGTACAGATACACAACAATGTAAATCGAAACATTTTGAACACCTCGGAAACTTCTGATGGGCAGTGTTGCCCTACATGGTAGTTGCCTTGCCCCCAGGGCTCCCGAGTGAGGACAGGAAGCAAAGCAGAGCCCAGCCAGTCTGAGATGGGCATGTCGTTTGAGTGAAAAATAAAGCTTTATTATAAAGCCACTGAAGTTTTTGAGGGCTAGTTCACTACAGCATAACCTGGCTCGTTCTAACCTGAAATGTAGAAATCCTGGGTTCTAACTCTACTCCTGGAACCAAATTCTATATTGAGATAGGCTAGGTTCTGCTAGTCATGATCTGAAGAAACTTACATGACTCTTTTAGAACTACTATAGGGTTTCACAGGAAACTTTCATCAAATAATTAGAGAAGATACTGTGGAAATATTCTAACACAGTTAATTTGGCTTTGGAATGGCCCAGTTGTCAGAAATAACTTGTGGTCAACAGTCATAAATAAGGCTATTTTCAGAAAAATGACTTTAATGAAATGTCTGAATTGACAACAAAGGATAGAGGCAATATTTGCTTGTGTTTATACAAATCCTCCTTTTGAGTCAAAGTGCTCGTTTATTCTTCTGTCTTTTCATAGAGCTGCTGCAAGTCAAGAGTGAGAATGACGCAAAGGCTGGTCGTTACTAAATAAGTGCATTCCTGACGTATAATAGTTTACCAAGTATTTCCTATTCATCATCTTATTTGAACTTTGCAGTAGTCCTAGCAAGTAGGCAGCTACAGAAATCAAGGCTTAAAAATGTGAAATTATTGCTTAAAGTCATGTAATCTGCTAGAGGAGGAACTGGAACTTTAATACAAAACCATCTCATTCCAAGTCCAGATCTCCTTCCTTCCTTCCTGCCCTTAGTTCATTGTCTCTGTCCCTCGCTTGGTAGTAAGGCCCTCAGGAGACAGCCCTTCCTCTGAAGAGTGAGCCCTTCTGCAGCTAGCGTCACAGGCCAAGGCACAGAACTCTCATCCTGGTGATGACCTAGCTGGCCGTTTTACTTGTAATCGTCCTTCTCTGTGAGGGCTGATGTTCACATACTGTCATATTTACTCCTGGTAACAGTTGGAGTCAAGGTAAGAGAAGCAAGTATAGTAGCAGATAACACCTGTGTGCCCGACATTGTTCTAAGGAATTACCAATGTTGATTCATTAGGTACTGTGATTATCCTTATTTCACAGTTGAGGAAACAGGCACAGAAAGATTAGAGAACCTGGTCTAAGGTCCTATAGCTGCAGAGCCAGAGCCCAAGCCCAGGTTCTCACTCCCAGTCCCAACTTTCATTGGCCATGTTACTTCCTGTAAACTGTACACAAAGAAAGATGAAACTGACCCCATGCATTAGGAAAAAACTATTTTGCCATTTTGTTATAAGAAATGAAAATTTCATTCTAATAGAGGAATTTAGATGCTTTTAAAATTCACTCTAACAAGAAACAACGCTAGTTTACCAATTGGTTCATTGTAACTCCTCGGGGAAAATCCCAGGGCAAAATAACCTTTGAAGTCAGTCAAAGGGAGAGATAAAGTGGGAGAAATCCGTTTATTTCTTACAAGCAGTCCACTTCTGCCCTCCCGTGTCTCTCGGGACCTGGCTGCCAAGAAGAGGCCCTACACAACCTCTCCAGTCCAGATGAGCCCCCGCTGGCCCTTGTAATCACCTATTGGTATGGAGATGGAGTACGCTCTCCACCCCTTGGGAACACCTATTGATATGCAGATACACTAAGGCCAGGCAGGAGATTCTGGAAATAATTGTGATTTTACCCACATTTGTTTTCTGAGCGCTGACAAATTTTTAATATAATTTATTCAGTTGAATAAATAATATTTGTTGTGTACTTACTATATACCTAGGCATGAGTTAAATGTTTTATATGTATTAGCTCATTTAATCTTCACAAGAACTCTATGATGTAGGTACTGTTATTATCCCTCTTTTATAAATGAGAAAACTGAAGCTTAGAAGTAGTCACCTGCCCAAGGCCACTCAGGTGAGATTTGACCCCAGCAGTCTGACTTCAGAACCAATACTTGAACATTCAGATAACCACCTCTAGAGTTTCAAAATTTCTTATGATTCCAGAAATTTTCCAAATCCTCTCTGTCCATTTTTGGTGGTTTTATTGAAACACTATTACTGTATATTTTTTTCCATATAGGCTTATGTTCCAGATGAAAATAATGCTATTTTAGGAAGAAATACAAATAAGCAAGTTTTTGAAGGCTTGACAACTGGGCTTCTCAAAGTCAGCACTGTGGTTTTAGGCTGCCTGATTGCCAATCGACCACGTGAAAACAGCCGGCCAGCTACACCAAAAATACCGACACAGGGAATGAAAACCAAACCCTCACAAAGTGACGCTTTTAACAGTCAAGTTCAGGACCTCATCAGGTAAAATTGCTCAATTTCTTAAAAATTTTTTCTTTATCAAAAAAAACTATATTAAAGTTATTTAAATCTCAGGGCCCATGGGATAGCACTGGTTCTCACAACACCATCCATTAATTCCTGGTAGAAAACATACCACATTTTGTAGAGAAGGAAAACCCTAGTAGTGAAAAGCAAAATAATTGGAGCCCATTTTCATTCTTGATATTTAGGTATTTGATATGAGAATATGTAGTGTCCAATTTTTTATAACTTTCTTGCTTCCAACTCTGTCAAACTCAAAGAGTTTATGTGAATTCCCCTATTTCTGGTTATAAATGTGGTTCAGACAAAACATTAATAATAGCTGCCATGTATGGAGCTCCCGGGATGTGTGAGGTATTGTTGGAGGCTTTGCAGTCCTGTAAGTATGGAATTTCTAAATCAGACTTTGTAGGTGAGGAAATTGCTCACACAGGGTAAATATTTTACCCAAGGATATATAATAAATAAGTTTAAAAATAGGTAGGAGAGTTGAGACTGGAATTCAGGCCTAGCTGGACTCCCAACACCTGTATGCTTTCAGCTACACAAATGTGACAATTTCCAGCACTTGTTCAGGGTCAACCCTGCTTCTTTCCAAGGTCACCTTTTCTTCCAGGAAATTGACCCCTACTTTCACATCTAAACTCTTTTTTTCCCTCATAAATCTTGAATAATCTAGGAAATTTAATTTCCCAACAAGGTTCCATCGAGTATTAATCAATTACCTGTCTCATCTGTTAGCAACTCCCCTGCGATGTGCACTGATCTCTGGCTTCCAAAATCTATGCGATTTGCTGCTTTTTGAAGCTTATGGTAGGTTAATAGAAGAAAAAGAACGCCCTCTTCTGCACTTCCTTCTTTCACAGTCCGTGGATCCCTCTGGTTTCTTGTGGTGCTTTCTTGAAAACAGTTCATTCACCCCGCGTCTTGCTCAGTCCCGGTCGCTCTGCCCACTCACCCCTCTGTCTCCCCGCCCTCTTTCCCCCAGGATGTTCATTGCTGGAGAGGACGAGGCCCTTCGGGTCCCCGACCATTTATCTTACAGCGCTTGACATTCACCCTCCCTGACATTTCTTTCAGTTGCTTGATCCCATTCAATTTCTCCATGTTTTTTTGGCCATTGTGGAACCCAGCCCTCTCTGCCGAGGAATGCCGTTCTGGCTCAGCGCCTCACCTGGGCTGCCGTGTGGTGCAGCGACCCAGCATTCTCACCCAGACAGCTTAGCCACATGCCTCAGCTGTGATGAGGCGAAGGCCCAGTTAACTGCATCAGTGCAACCCAGGGGGCCTTCCAGGAGGAAGTACATCTGCTTTCACATATAATATTATTACTGTTACTAGATCTTTCATAAAGGGGGAAAGTATTGGGGAAAAAAATAACAGTGGTAATCTGCCAAACCAAATTACTTACGTAACTTAAAAAGGATGATTGACAACTATAATACTTCAGAACAAACCATGCCACTCTTCTCTGCCTTGAAGCACTTTTGGTGAATGTTTTTTATAGGTGACCCATTGTTAGCTGGCCTGATGATGCCTGTAGAACCACAAACCATGTATCAGATCAGCCTAATTAAGCAAACAGAACATGTTCATTTCCACGCTTTCCTTTCTCCTCCTCAGATATGAACTGATAACAGATCTTACTCCAGTCCCTGCTGCAAACCTTTTTGTAGTTTTTATCCCTAGTATTGCAGAGAGTCCCAGCACAGTCTTTGGGGCTGTTCTCTGGCCTGTGCTCCGAGACAGAGTTGAAGCAAGGCACACTACTCTTGGCATAAGTCCTTTCCTTCTCATAGGCATAGAGAAAGACAAGGGGAAATCTAACAGGGACGAGACAGTAACAGTATTTATTCTCATTACTTTACGTGATTCAGTCAAGTTTCTAGATCTAAGGGGTTCGCAGAAATACTTATCAATTCAAACTATGGTCACCTATATTCACTTTGTGCCAGACACTGCACAGGTCCTGGGATACAAAAACAAAAGACTTTTAACAGAATATCCAAATAATAACATTTGGTTATCAAAACAGAATTTTTTCCTATAAAATGCAAATATTAGCAATTTTTAAAACAGTGTTTAGCACAGTTCTAGGAAAGCAGTTGTTTATAGGATAGCAGCAAATTGAATGTGAAAAAATACTGAAATTTGCTCAAGATAGAGACCACCCTAAAACTCCACAAGTCTATTTTTTCCCAATTTTATTGAAACATAGTTAACATGTAACATTGTATAATCTTAAGATGTACAGTATGATGATCTGATACGTGTACAAATTGTAAAATGATTATAACAATAAGGTAAGTTAACACCTCCAACAGCTCACATAATTACCTTCATGTGTGTGTTTGTGTATGTGTGTGTGTGGTGAAATCTTTGAGAGCTACTCTCTTAACTTTCAAGTGTGTAATACAGTATTGTTAACTGTAATCACCATGCAGCACGTTACATCCCCAGCACTTACTCATCTTGTAAATGAAAGTTTGTACCCTTTGACAATATCTCCTCAGTTCCTCCACCACCCCTTTCCCCCAGGCCCTCGTTAACCATCATTCTACTCTCTGTTTCTATGAATTAAGCTTTTCTAGGTTGCATATGTAAATGAGATCACACAATATTTGTTTATGTGTGACTTATTTCACTTAGCATACTTTCTTCAAGGTCTGTTCATATTGTCACAAATGGCAGGATTTCCTTCTTTTTATGGCTGGATAATACTCCAGATATGCCATATTTTCTTAATCCATTCATCTCAGTGGATATTCAGGTGGTTTCTATACCTTGGCTGTCATGAATAATGCTGCAGTGAATATGGAAGTGCAGGTGTCTCTCTGAGAGAGTGATTAACTTCCTTCAGCTATGCACCCAGAATTGGGATTGATGGGCCATCCAGCAGTCTGTTTTTGATCTTTTGAGGAGCCTCCTTACTGTTTCACATAGTATCTGTATGAATGTGCATTCCCACCAGCAGTGCACAGGGTTCACTTTTCTTCATAATCTTGCTAACGTTATCTCTGGCCTTTCATAATGGACATTCTATCAAGGGTCACTATCTCATTGTGGTTTTGATTTGCTTTTTCCTGGTAGTTACTGATGTTACGTGTCTTTTCCTCTACCTACTGGCCCTTTGTATATGTTCTATGGAAAAATATCTATTCAGGTCCTTTGCTCACTTTTTAATCAGATTATTTGTGTTTTTACTATTAAGTTGTAGGAGTTCCTTATATTTTTTTGGATATCTATCCTGTATCCAGTATACGGTTTACAAATATTTTCTCCCATTCAGTAAGTTGTCTTTTCATTTTATGTATTCTTTCTTCTGCTGCCCAGTTTTTAATTTTAATATAGTCCCAGTAGTTTATTTTTGTTTCTGTTGCTTGTGCTTCTGGTGTCATATCCCAAAAATGTCAAAACCAATGACAAGGAGCTTTTTTCCTGTTTTCTTCTTGAATTTTATGGTTTCAGGCCTTACTTAATTCAGGTCTTTAGTCTATACTGAGCTCATTTTATGATTGGTATAAAATAGGGGTCCAATTTTATTTTTCTGCATGTTTGATGCTATTCTCTGGCCTGTACCCCTTTTCCCAATACCATTTATTGAACAAACTATCTTTTCCCCATTGAGTATTCTTGACTCCCTTATCAGTATTTGTGGATCACATAACATAGGTTTATTTCTGAGCTCCCAATTCTGTTCCATTGGTCTGTGTGTCCATGTGTCTGTTTTTATGCCAGTACCATACCATTTTGATTACTATAACTTTGTAATATAGTTTGAAATTAGAAAGTCTGATGCCTCCAGCTTGTTCTTCTTTCACAAGATTGCTTAGGCGATTCACAGTGTTTTGATAGCACAATTCTTTCCATTATATCCAGTTAGAAATTTACATCCCTCTTTCAAAACAGGGAAATCAAACTGTACAACCAAGAGACAGACAAGTCCAACTGACATATTACAGTCTTTTGGAATCAAAAGTTAGCAAATGTAAGGCATCTGTTCAAGAAGTTATGAAACTGGTGTACTTTAGCTTAGCACTTTCCTGACCAGCAAACCCCAGCCACATATATAGCTACCAGGATGTACCATAGACATACCAGGCTCCACAAGTTCGATATTGAACACATAATCTTTCCACCCAAAGGAGCTCCTTTTCCTGTGTCCTCTGCCCTTCCCAGTGGCACCAATATCCCATTGGTGCCAGCAGTCTGAGCATTGTCAAGGACTTCTTACAGTTCTTTACCAAACCAATATCCAATTGAATCATAAATACGTCTTTATTCTACTTTGTAAATGTCGATCAGATTTATCACTTTCACTCCATTGCTGTCTTTAAGTGTCTGGGCTCTCTTGGAGTAGCAGATGCCTGTGTCTCTGTTCCTTTCCCCCTCCGCCTTTTTAAAATAACTTATTTTTCCTAATAATAAAAGTAATATGTGCTCAGTGAGAAAAAGAATTTGGAAAACACAGAAGAGCACAATAGATACTTTTAAAACACAAAAATTATCTTTTTTTTGTAAGTACAGTTGATACACAATATTATATTGGTTTCAAATATACAACATAGTGATGTAACAGTTATATACATTATTAAATCCTCACTAAAACTATTATAGTTACTGTCAACATAGAGAGATGTACAGAACTATTGACTATATTCTGTATGCTCTACTTTCATCCCCATAGCTAATTTGTATTATGATTGAGATCACAAAAATTATCTTTAATGCCACCACCCAAAGATATCACTGCATTGGATTGTTTTTGGTTTTGGTATACATACATGTAGTTATTCTATATAAAAATATTGTAATGCTTGATAATAGGGGAAGTCTAGTAATCAAAATGTTCAAGTGATTGTATACTAACAAAATTAAAAAATTGTAATGCTTATACATAATTTTAAACATAATTATTTAAAATATGGAATAATTTTAATTTTTCCAAATCAGTAGAAACTTGCAAATTAATTTTTACT